GGAATGCCCCTGTCCCTGGCAGTGATGGTGATATTGTAAGCGGAAACCGTTTCTCTGTCCAGGGCGCTGGCTGTTATTAATTTGTATGTGTTCTCTGATGACGGTTCTAGTCTGAAAGGCAAATCGCCGTCGATGTTGCAGTTCACTTCTCCGTTGTGCCCCGAGTCTCTGTCGCGGACATTGATCACAGCTACAACTGTGCTCGGGATGGAGTCCTCGGGTATCGGGTTCAAGATGGGCAGGAGGGAAAGGGTTGGTGCGTTGTCGTTCGCGTCTAGAATGTCTATGTGCACTTTGGCGTGCGCACTAAGCCCGCCCCCATCCTTGGCTTCAACAGTCGCTTCATAATATTTCCCTTCTTCATAATCTAGGGGGCCTGCAACCTTCACGTCCCCGGTCCTGGAGTCCAGAGTGAACAGCTGGCGAGCTGTGTTGGCGATGTCACTGAAAGAGTAGGTAATTTCTGCATTTGTTCCTTCGTCGTCGTCAGTAGCTTTCACCTGAAAAGCTAAGGAGTGCTTTGGTAGGTATTCTAGCAGTCGAACCTTGTAGATCTCTTTGGTGAATACCGGCGGGTTGTCATTCGCATCGGTCACATTAATATTAATCTGGATGGTCCCGGATCGGACTGGATCCCCACCATCAACCGCTGTCAGTATCAAATGGTGATTTCTCTGTTTTTCTCGATCTAAGCTTTTCTCCAGCACTAATTCTGGCTGCTTCGTCCCATCAGAACTCTCCCTTACTGCAAGGGAGAACAGCGGGTTGGGGTTAAGTTGGTAATTTTGTAATGAGTTCACCCCAATGTCGGGGTCTCTGCCACTGCCCAGTGGGAATCTGGCCCCAGGAGGCGTGGACTCGATCATTTCTATGGCAACAAATTCTCTGTCAAACTGCGGCGCATTGTCATTGACATCCTGGATAGTAACGCTTACATGAAATATATTGAAAGGGTTTTCCACGACTGCCTCCAAACTGAGGACACAGGGCGACACGGCCCCGCAGATGCTTTCTCGATCTATCCTGTCGTTTACCCGCAGATTTGTGTTATCCTCCCCGAGAGTGAAGAGTCGCTTTTCATCACCAGAGACTATCCGTAGCTTGCGTGCCGGCAGGGCCGCCCGGCTCCGGCC